ATTGACAAACCACCAGAGAGTCCTGCCGTGTGACCTAGTGCGCCGCAAATTCTTCCTCATGGTCTTTGAACTCACATCAAGGGAGGAGAAAGGAGCCCCAGCACATCCCACTTTCTTCATCTTGCTAGTGGAAGTTAATAACCAATGAGGGAACTGCTCACAGCAGAAGTATTCAGCCGATACTTGTTGGTATAGTTCATCACTTAACTAACGCTTTTTCAAAATTAATTTCTTTTCTTAGTAACAAGTTCAAATTGTACTGGAGGATAAACAGTGATTGTGAAAATCCTTCCTTTGCTTTCTGATTTTTTTAGTCCTGCTCTAGAAAGGCAACCACTAGAAACCGTTTCCTGGATTGTGTGTCCTTCCAGAAACTGTCCTTACACATGCAAGTCTGTGTGCATGTGCATGTGTGTATCACACCGTACAGCCTGTGCTTTCATTTAAAGTGTATTTCTGAGCACTTTTCCACACTAGCGCTTGAGGGTCTACTGCACAGTTTTGAATGTTATACAGCGCTCCTTGATGCGTGTTCATGTAACTGGCCCCCTAATTCTGGCCATTTAGTGGATTGTTGTGTGCTTGTCGGTTTAGTTTGCTGTTACAAACTACCACAAGTCATAGTTTTGGTATTTATCTGTTTGCACCCATGTCTATAAGATATGCTTGACTGCAAGATAAATTTCTAGAGTGTGATATTTAGGTCAAAGGGTATGTGCGATTTAATTTGTGAGAGATACTGTGAGTTTGCTTTCTGGTCAGACTACAAACATAAAGCGAAGGCTTTCTCCATGCCAAGAATGGGGATGAAGGATAAAAGCGTGCAGCTCTTTCCCTGGAGCGGCTCACAGAAGAGACTGGCAGCCATAAATTATTATAATGGAGTGAGGTAGTGCTGTAGTCAGGGTTTTATAGCACTTGCATTGCTGTGTTGGCTACTAGTTTTATAGTCTCAAATATTTTTAGATTTTAAACATTTTTTTTAGCTCAGAGTAAGTTTTTGTTTGCTTGGTTGATTTTTAAAAGGGGTAGAATCAGTATTTCATTGCCATTTATAATCAGGTGCCAGTCAGGTAGTTTCCATAATGCATAAATAAAATTACAAGTTATTTTTGTATCTATTGGATTTGATGTTTATTTTCTTTTCTTCATTTTTCATTTTCTTTTCTTACTGTACATTTTAGGTATACATATTGATAGCATTTACCATAGAGAATTTATACCTGTAAACGATAAATCCCGCTTCTTCTTTCCTTCCCCATTTTCCTCCCCTCCCTTCAATCTTCCTTCCTATATTATTTACAAAAGCTTTATTGCCATGTTTTCCTTCTAGTCTCTTTCATTTCTTGCTTCTTTCTTCTCCCTTTCCCCTCTTCTCATTTGAATGTTTTTGAATATCCATTACACATTTTGATCCTTATTCACACCTTTAGTTTCTCACACTTGAGAAACAGTGTGGTACTTAAACGTGTATGTCCTGTTTATTTCACTTAAGAGCCTGGTCTCAAGGTGCGTACATTTAGCTAGAAATGTCTCAAGCTTATCTTGCTTTATGGCAGAACAGTAGTCCATTGTATATAACACACACACACACACACACACACACACACACACACACCCCCCTTCTTGATCCATCATTCATTGGTTGTGGGGCACTTGGGCTGCTTGCAAGATTTAGCTATTAAAAACTGCTGCTACGAATATGGGTGTGTATTGCTGTGGTACGATGTTTTTAATGCTTTTAGAAAGATTCCAAGAAGGGAAATAGTTAGGTCAAATAAAACTTCTAGTTTTCATTTTTGGAGGAATCTCCACACTGATTTTTACAATGGTGGCACAAGTCTACACTCCCACCTATACCAAAGAAGGGTTCCCCCACCAGCATTTGTTATCAGATGATTTCTTGATGATAGCCTTCCTTTCTGGATCTGTGTTGTTTTAATTTGGATCTTTTGAATGACCAGGGATGTCGAATAACTTTTTCATCTATTTATCTGCTACTTGTACTTCTTTATCTGAGAAGTGTCTGTTCATTTTAGATGGCTATTTTTGGATTAGGTATTTAAATTGGGGGGGGTCTGAGTTTTTTTAGTTTTTAAATAAATATATTTTAGATACTAGTCCTTTGTCTCAGGAACAGCTGGCAAAAATCTCTTCCCCTACTGTGGACTATCTCTTCACTCTGTTGGTGGTTTCTTTTGCTGTGCAAAATCCCAGTTGTTGATTCTTTGTGATGTTTCTTATGCAGTTGTGGTTTTGTTTGTAATGTCTTTGCCTACCTCCAATGCCTTCAAGAACTGTGCCTATTCTGTCTTCTAGTAAACTTAGTTTTTGTTTTGACATTTATATCTCTGAACCATTTCAATTTTAGTTTAGTGCACAGTGAAATTATGAGTCTAATTTTAATCTTTGGCATGTGGAAAGCCAGGTTTTCTATCACTATTTTTTTTTTTTTTCTATCACTATGTTTTAAAGAGGCCATCTCTTCCAGTGAAGGTGTTTGGCTCCTTTGTCAAAGATAAGTGGGCTGAGTGTGTTGCACTGATCCTCAGCTTTGGGTTTTTTCTTTTTCTTTTGCCACTACCATACTGCTTTAATCACAATGCCATTGTAGTATAATTTCAAGTTAGGAATTGTGATGCCCCCTACATAGACTCTTTTTCTGGCTTCTTCTTGCATGCACTATTTTCCCCCATCCTTTTAGTCTGTGAATTTCTTTTTTAACTAAATGTATTTCTTATAGGCAGCTGACTATTTGATCTTGCCTCTTGATCCGTTCTGTCAGTCTCTTTTGTTTGACTGGTGAATTGAGAGCATTTACAATGATGGTTATATATGAAATGCATTGACTTAACCTTGCCATGTGATTTTCCTGCTACCGCTCCCCCTCCACGTTTAATTCATTGCCTTGCCTGGTGGATCCATTCTGTGGGGGCTCATGGAGTTGTGGTCCTCATCAACTCTAGAATAATGTCCTGCAGAACACTTTGCAATGGCGGTTTGGTTGTCATGAATTGTTCCAAGTGTTGTCATGAAAGTATCTTACTTCTCTATCAATTTTGAAAAATAGTTTTATGGAATTCATCAACCCGGGTTGGGTGGATGTTTTCTTTTAGGGCTTGAAATGCTTCACTCCAAGCTCTCCTTGCCTTGTGAGCTCCTGTAAGAAGCCTGCTGTGATTCTAGTAGGCTCTTTTCCTATAGGTGATTTGTTTCCTTTCTCTAGCAGCTTTTAATAATCTGTTCCTATGTAGAATTTCTAAAATCTTGACTATTATATGCCTTGATTTATATTTTTTAAATCATGGGTAGAGTTTTTTTATTTTAAAGAGGAAAACAAAAATAAAAACATATAATAAGAACAAAGACAGAAACAAAGCAACATACAACACCACAGATGGTACAGAATTTCAAAACAAGAAGATTAACAGTGGTTGTTATAGTACATATTGTTATTATCAAAGTTGTTGCCCAGATTACAAGATACAGGTATGGAAGATTGATTACACAAATATTGACGTTTCCTTTCAATAAACCTTAATTTTTTCCTTGTCCTCTTTGCTTTTTATTTTTTAAATTATTTTGAAGAAAGTATAATGATAATTGGTGAGACATTAGAGATGTTACACATTTAAAAGAACAAGGTGGAAAGTCTTCAACCATGGTTGTCATATTGTGCATTGCTGTCCTCAGTGTAGCTGCTCAGATTACAGGTATTAGCATATGGAGTTAGTCAAAGTAAACATTTTAAATATTAACTGCTACCTTAAAAGAAACTGATAGAAATTAGTAGTACAATCATCTGAGCTATCCTGTGTATGTACTTATATGACTTTTCCTCCTTTTTTCTACCTTTTCTCCTTTCCCTCATCTCGATTGTTTAATCCTTGTGTTCTGGTTTTTTTTCCCATTTTATTATATCTATTGTACCTTTTAGATTTTATTTATTATTTCAGGTTCTTACACTAGGGAGACAATATGATGTTTACACATGTGCGTCTGATTTATTTCATTTATGACTGTAGCCTCTAGTTGTATCCATTTACCTATACAAACCTCAAGCTTATCTCTCTTTATAGTTGAGTAATACTCCATTGTGTAAAAATATCACATCTTTTTTATCGATTCCTCAAATGATGGGTATTTGGGTTGTTTTCAAGATTGAGCTGTGTTGTGGTGTGATATCTTCAGTTCTTTTGGAAAAATACTCAGAAGGGTAATATCTGGGTTGAACCTCACTGAAGCCTTATACCTAACAATAGAGGACATTGCCATATGGAAACCAAAATCCCACTCTTGATCAGTTAGAGCTCTATCTGCCTCACACATCTGCACGTGAAAAAATTTTTTTTCATGCTTAGGAAATTTTCTACCATTCCTTTTGTGAACAGATTTTCTTATGCTTGTCTCTCTCCTGTTTTTTTCACTGACTCCAATCAATCTGATCTTATTGTTCTTTGCATCATCTAGTAGTTGTTGAATTTTTGTATGGTCTTTTGGTATTTTTAAGAAATCTTTCTTTTCATGATCTCTAACCATAATCCTATCTTCTGTTTGTGAGATTCTGTCCTGATATTGGCTCATTCTGCTGCTTATGCCTTCAGTGAAAATTTTTCATGTCTTGAATATTTGTTTAAATCTGTTTCATGGACTCTACTTCATTCTTCTGTTGGGAATTCATGGTTTCCATCACTTTCCTAATGTCCTCTATTCTTTTATCTGTATTTGCTCCTGAGTCATTAAGTATGCTTTTCATTGTGGTCACCATTTCTGGGGTAATCAGAGAGATCATTTTTATTAAATTTTTCCTAGTACCTCATTCATCTGCTTTGTTGCTTCCAGTGTTACCACTTCAGAAAGTTCAGGTGTGTGCCTTTCAAATAGTTCTGTCTAATTGCCCCTAGGTTTTGCCTTTGTTGAACTGGAAATCAGGGGTTGGGTCTTGCTTAAGTCTCTTTTCATTTTCTAATTTTTTTTTTTTTTTTTTGGTAGATGACTACTCAATTTAATGTTTAGATGAGTACGTTTTACCAGTTACCTCCTCTGATGTCACTTTGCCAATTCTATAGTCAGGACAATATAAGGGATTAGCCAAGGCATTCCGGTAAGCAACAGCATGCAAATTTTCAATGACACGAGTTTGTGGGTTCTGAAAAGCCACGGCTTTGTCAACTCTTAGCTGTGGCTGAAGATCAGCTACTTCCCAACGACGGAATTCTGGTGCTGTGGTCACGTTTAGCAGGAACTCCATTAAGATCTCAAAGTCGTCCCGCAGGCCCTCCACGGTGTATGCCATGCTCTCCCTCGTTGCAGTCACACTTAATTTACCACCAACTGCTTCAATTCCACGTGTTATCTTGAAAGAAGAAGCACCTTTTGTAGTCAAGCTGGACGCAAGGCGCAGCAAGTGAGAGGTCCCTAAGTTGCTGGAGTCCTCATATCGACTGCCGGCTTTAATGAACACACCAATTCTGCACACAGGAGCATAGTTTTCCAGAGATGCAATCACCAAACCATTTGGTAATTTGGTAAACTCAAGGTCCTGAGGATGTAGAGGCACTCCTGCAGGGGCGGCTGCGGCTTTAACTTTGGGGGCAACTTTGAGGGAATAAAATCTCGAAAGGAGTCCGGCTCTGGGTAGTAGCCTCATGGCTCAAGCCTCTGTGGACCGCGGTCACGACCGACTGGAAAGGAAGCAAGATGGCCTCATTTTCTAATTTTTAACTTTAATTCCTGGGTTGATGCTTATAAATCGTTTATGGCAGGTAGCTTCATTTCTAGTAGTTAGAACCCTGATGAGATGACCAGTTCTAAGAGGTGTTTCCAGGTATAGCTGGTTTTTGGATTTTGAGTCTTTTGTAAGATCCTACCTCTTCAATTAACTGGAGAGGAGAAGTTGCTGCCTATTGGGCCTGGCCCTTAGTTTTTTGCCACTGGCCTATAGTATTTTTTATGACTCTTAGGCAATCTCAGTCTTAGCACATCAGGAAGAACTGATCAGAGCAATTATGTCATGTTGGTTAAAGCAGTACAATCAACAATAACAATAATATTAAACATAGCCTAGAAAATGACAAGTTGTGGTAACTATTAATTTGCCACCTTAACTGTACAAACTAGATTTGTGGTTATATATCAAAAACAAACCAGAAAATTGTATACAAGGAAATATATGCCCTCAGTATTGTGATTTTACCCTCCTGAGGGAAAATTTAAAAGAGATTAATGAGAAAAATAGAGAAATACAAGAAGAGAAAGAGGCTAGAAGCAAGGCTGGATGATAAAGGAAGATTACAGAAACTTTGGGAAACTGGTGAAGAAGACAGGAGGGAGAAAGAGAAGATATAAAAACAAGGACAGGAGGCCGGCCAAATAGCTCAATGGATTAAAGTGCCTACAAGCAGGTGTAGGGGCCAGGGTTCAATCCCCAGGCCTGCCGGTGCGCTGAGGTGGCGATTGAGACTGGGCGTGGTGGTGCATGCCTACAATCCCAGTTCTTGGGAGGCTGTAGACGGGAGAATCACTATGAGTCCGATCTAGTAATGAGACCTTGAACATCCTGTAGACACTTCCCTAAAATACAGAAAAAAAAAAAAAAAAGACAGAATAGAACATCACCACCACCACCACTGCTGCCGCCACCACAACCAACAAAACTGGTGACAACATTCTTACTCTTAAAAATAAGGACAAGGGCTGGGGAGATAGCCTGGCAGTCTAGGCACCTGCTTGACAAATGCAAAGACCTGGGTTCGATTCCTGATACCACGATCTGTGCTAGTCCCACACTGTGCCAGACCCTGAAACCAGGCATGGTGGTGCATGCCTGGAATCCCAGTGCTGGGGAGGCTGAGACAAGAGGATCACTATGAGTCTGAACTGTGTAGCAAGACCCTGTATCAAATAAACAAACAAATCTGAAAAAAAAAATAAAGGAACAAGAAGATGAAAAGAAAAGAAAAAAGTCCACTTCAGGGCATGTCTCTGTTATCACTGGGAGACTGAGTAGACAGACAGAGCCCAGATTCATATTGATTCATCCCAGCAAGCCAGTGGTAGACTTATGGTGGGGTAGTGGATAACCCCAGAAAGCCTGCATCTTTAGTTCCTCTGGGGTTCAGGCTGGTTTCTGGCTATGAGGATGGAACCCAATTCATTCAGCCTGCAACACTCTGTGTGTCTCCTCCTGACTTCACTCAGGTCGCTGCCAGCTTGAACTTGGCTCTGTGACCTCTGGAGTGGGTTCTGCCTCACCCTGACACTGGGAGCTGCTAGATGGGGTTGGTCAGTGACTTCTCTGAATTCCAAGCTGAGTTGGTTCCTCTCCAAGATGGCTACTGTCCAGTCACCCTGTCCTGGAGGATGGCTGAACCCAAGTGACTCAGTCTCCACTGCTCCCACCGTGCCCATTGCTCTGGTGGCCTCTGGGGTTGCAGTAGTCACTGGGCGTCTGCAGGCTTGAACCACCTTTCATACAGCGAGTCAGGTCCGGGAGAAAGCACTGCTTACCACATCCCCTTCTTCCGCGTTGAGGTCTCTCCACTCTGCTTGTGGGATTGAATTCTCCCTCAGATCCTTGCTGGGTCCTGGGGACCTACTTCTTTCCTTCTTCTCTTCCTCATGTTGTTATATTCCAGCATCTGGACACCAAAAAGCAGAGACGTGTTTCTCTGGTGCTATCACTCCACCCGTTTCTAGAAGTCCTTAAGTTTTAAACAGCTGATGGCTGGTTATGTTTTTCAGAAAACACAGACCAATTCATTAAGGCGCTTCAAGCTTTTTTTTTTTTTTGAGAGACAGGATATTGCTCTGCAATTCAGGTTGGCCTTAAACTTGCTATGTAGCCCAGGATGGCCTGTAAGTTTTTAGACTGAGATATTTTTCCTCAGCTAAAACAAAAACAAAAGAAGTGAACAGCATGATGAGGCTGAGTGCTTCTAGATCCAGTGATATCGCTAGGTAAGTGATAGCGCTTACCTTGCCAACTTGCAGTTATTCCAGTTTTATCAGTGCAGGCATGTAATTTCCCCCAACTATCACTAATAGTATAATTTGGTTTCTTTTTTCCTTCTTTCCTTCCTTCCCGAGGGTCTTTCTAAGTAGCACAAGTTAGTGATTGTCCTGCCTCAGCCTCCTGAGTAGTTGGGATTGTAGGCATGAGCCACTGCTATGCTTAACTGTAGTTCAGTTTTAAACCTCATCTCTTTGATGGCAAACCCAAGACCCTTTCTCCTGAGCACACAGGCACCACTGTCCTTGAGAATTTTCCAGCTCAGCAGCTACAGAACAATCCTGGATCACAAGCAGAAGCCCTGCTGAGAGCAACCCAGCAGTGCCTTGGATGGAGGAAACCAGAGGGAAAATCTGCCCTTTGCTCTTGGGAAAGTCACTGATTCATGGGGGAGAAAGGTCACCACCTAAACGCATGTGAATCACACAGTAATCAGTGTCATTTCCATCATTCTAGGCCCACGCTGTGGCTCTGAGAAGACGCCTCCCTCACATGAAGAGGACAGGTTAGTTTAAAAGATGAGCGGTGGGTGCATGGGACCAGGCTGGCAGAACAGCACAGGTGAGGGTGGGGGTAGCAGTGTGGGCTGCGGCTGCATCTTGATGTGCCCAGCATTCGTGCAGGGCCTAGGGCGGGAAGTAGAGGTGCTCAGGGCCACCTCTGGGAGACTCAGCTCCGGTAAATGTGAATGTTGCTTTGAACAGGAAAGCGACACAACTTCACCAAGGTTGCAGGAGAGAGTCAGTGGTGTGCAGGACAGGTTAGACTGGGGCATCTAGGAAGGAACAGATGGAAGGAGCCGATAGGCTAGAACTGAATGGGAGTGGATGGGCTTGTGAGGACCTAGACAGGTGCATTTGATCCAATAGCATCTTCTAGTACAGGTAAAATGGTTGGGCTACTGAGAGCAATGAAGCACAGCACAATGAACATTTGGAGGGTGGAAATTAGCAGGTCGGCTTCGCACTTGGCACTTGTAGTCAAGCATAGAGGAATTCCAACGCATAGGCTAAGTTCTACTGTAACTTCTCTTGAGATTCAGGTCTGTGATTCAGCCTGCATAGTAATGAAGCACTACGGAAAATGAATTCTAAATATGTTAATAGGTTAAAAAAAGGAGCAAAAGTTCATTTGCACATGTGCACATACCATTATTTGCCCATTGGAGGAAGGGTGGTTTGTAAGTCTGCAGTCCCTGCTGGAAGAGAGAGGCACTCGTTTCACCCAAGGGAAGCTGCTGACCAGTGGACAGAATCACCCTAGTTCCAAGCTTCTCCTTCTGTTCTCATGAACTGTTCCCTTCTGTGGGGCTCTGGGGTGCTGCTGGAGGCATGTGGACCAGGACTAGAACAGAAGAGATGCCAACAAGCATCCACACAACAAGCTTTCATGGGGCCGGGGAGATGGCTCAGTAGAATAAGCGCCTGCCTGGCAATCACAAGGGCTTGAGTTCAATCCCCAGTTCCACCAAAAAAAAAACCCCACAAAACAAGCTTTCTACAAAGATGAATGGAAGCTAGCATGACCCGTGGCCTCAGCGTGGGCATGCGAAAGTGACTGAATCACTTCTCTTTCCCAACTCCTCACCCAAGTTCTCACAAGCTAACTGGCTTGTGCGAGGCACATCTTTTCACCTGGAGGCGTCTCTGATCTGACCCAGGGCACCATACTCCTGCTTGGTCCAAAGCACAAGGCTGTGCCTGTGCTGCCAGGCAGGGGGAATGGAGGCTGAACCCGTCTGCTTCACATGCTGCTTCAGTGCAGCCTCGGGTCACTGCGGGAAACAGGTCCACTGCCTCCTGCAGAGGCCCTTCGGTGCGTAATGTGGTGAGACCTTGCTGGTCCTGATCTCTCACAGCCAGAGTCATCCTCAACTTGGGACAACAGCTTTCCCGCCCTCTTCATTCACATTGACAGGCTTCGGAACTATTCTGGGTATGGCCTGCCCAGGAAGCTGGACCACAGGGATTCCACAGGTTAGCCACATGCATCCTAGGAAGCTGCTCTCTCTCTCTCTCTCTCTCTCTCTCTCTCTCTCTCTCTCTCTCTCTCTTTTATATTGAGAAACAAATATGAATGAGACAATTTCAAAGCTGATTAATAGGACAGTTTCGATAATCAATACATTATACATTGTTATCTTCTTAGTGGTTATCCATAGTACAAAAAGCAGACAGGATATCCTGTCCAAACACTATTAGTACACCTCTTCCTTCTCATTGAATTAAGCAAAAATAGCTGTATACCTATCCTAACTATTTTGTATATATAAATACAAAATGATCTTTCCTTTGTATCCCCTTTTTGTGTTTAGTCCTATCAGAGGTGGGTATTCTATTGGCATCTAAATATTATAGGTATTTGAATTCAGCAAAACAATCCAACACTGTCTAGCAGTCTATAATATTGGTGGGTTATCCTCAGAAGTTATTGACTTGAACCTTTTACAGCTCATCGTGTTAATATGGCTTTACTTTATATACCTCGTTTTTATACTTTTTTGCTGGATGGTTAAGACAAAGATAAAGCAAGACCTATATAACAAGAAATGTAACTTTTGTATCTGATAAGGTCAGTCAAGTACCCTCAGGATTTATCCTGTAACCCTGTACTGCACTTTGTAGATCCTTGTCAGAGGAGTAGTCACGGCCATTGCTTGATCAATTTGCTCTCTGTGAAAGCCTGAGAGAA